ATGATCATTAATAATCTGTGATGCTTAAATTGGGATGAACAGAACTAATACAATGAAAATTTCCCACTTTGACTTCAATGTACTATCAACAGATATTAATTTGAAGAGTGAGCATTTCACGCCTTACCCTAGCTATATTTAAAACTGATACATCATGTAGACTATGGTCATTCTTTATAGAAGAGAATAAAAAAGAATTTCTAGAAAGTATGATTAATGAGAGCAATTATTTCCCTTGGAAATGCAGTATTTTTATTCTGCAATTCAATGACAAGTAGAGAAATAGAATATTTTTCAAACAAGAAAAAAATGAGCTATTCAATTTCTGTTATAAAATAGCAATTGGTTGAGATGCTAAAATACTGACATTAGTTCTAATACAAAGAGAACACAATAGTACATGGTTTTCATAATGATAAAAATCGAATAATGTAAGAGGTGTTCAGGTTAGTGTCAATGTTTGAAATAAAGACATTAATGAGAAATGTCATTAATGACACTGCTTTTTTCCATGGAGCACCTACATTAAAATGCAATGTGGTGAAGGGTTTCAGGGATGCAACTTATTCAAAACACTGACTTAAAAGCTGTGGAAACTATAAGCCAGGAAGTAAGCTGAGATTTCACTGTGATGACCTGTTTTTAAATTTTGCTGAGGTGAGAGGGGAATACTGTAGACTGACCTTTTAAAACACCTGTAAGATTTCCTGTTTATTAATTTAAAGGTCACAAGTTGAGTACTGAGTGCTATTAGATTGGGTATCTTAATCCATTTTTAAAACAAAATCTGCCTTTTACAAACATTAAATTAGAAGTAACATGGCCTTAGGGCACTGGCTACGCTGACCTTAAAATGAAGAGCCTTTTTATTCTTCTGTTTCTGATACGTAATGTTAAAAATAACAAAAACCAAAAATATTTGGTTACAGACTCTAAGTAACAGTTCAGCAGGATTACATCTATGTCTAGAGATGAAGAACATCCTTAACACCATCATTAACATTGTAGGCATACCAACACAGGTACAATGCCTACAGTAAGTTACTCAGCCACCTAGTGGGGAGCAGCTACCAGGTACACAACAAGTTACTATGTGTTGGAAAAATGAACTGGGAAAATAACCTATTATCTTAAGAAGTTCTAAGTAATAGGAATGGCATAAAAGTAGACTTACAAAACATGGTAACAAAACTGTAACAAGCTATACAGAATAGGAGTATTCTGGGCTCAGAGTGGTAGTCCCAGATGATTTTCCTAGTGTCAGTAACATAGCTAGATAATAAAGGAAAAACAAGTCTTATAGGGAGAGATGTTCTAAGTTTAAAAGGTCTGATTATAGAAAGATGGCACAAAGTAGGCTACCATGGGTTTGGTATAGTTAAAAAGTATGAAGTAGAGGGCAGTGAGATAGCTCAGCGGACTAAGCACCTGCTTAGGCAAGCGCAAGGACTGGGGTTCAATCCCTGGCACCACATGCCCTGCTGGCCCTGCCCCTGGGCACACTGCGCCAGCTACTGTGACCTGGCATGGTGGTTCATGCCTATAATCCCAGCACTGGGGAGGCTGAAAACAGTGGGATCACTGAGTCCAAGCTGTATAGTGAGACTCTGTACCAAATACACTAAAAAACAAAAACAAAAAGTGCAAGGTAGGTTAGAATATACAGGAGCAGTAGAAAGGTAATGAAAGTCCATATCACAAAGGGTCTACATGTCAGAGAAGAGAAGAGAGCCCCAGCCACACGTGCATTTGGGAGGGCCACTGGCTTTTAGTGGAGAGCATGACTTGAATGGGGGTGAGATCAAGTAGCAAGTCCATGTAAGAAAGACTAAGAGGGGCTGGAGAGATGGTTCAGTACAATAAGCGCTTGCCTGGCAAGTGCAAGGGTCTGAGTTTAATCCCTGGTTCCGCAAAAAAAAAAAAAAAAAAAAAAAAAAAAAAAAGCTGTCAAATAAGCCTGCTATCAGAAAGTAGTTTGTGCCATGAAGGAGGCATGTGGTTTTACTGAAAGAGGTGATGTGGTAAAAGAGATACTCTTCCACTACAGTGAGTTTAAAGGTGACCTGGAAATCTTGCAGCCTGGAGATATGGGGAGTTCACAATCAAGGATAGAAATGGTAAAGAAGTTGCAACAGAAGTTAGATTATTGCCTCAAGGAACAGTCATTTTTGAAGAAAATCAGCACTGAACATTTTGAAGGAATTGTAACCAAAGTTATCCCAAAAGTACCCAGTAAAAACCAGAATGACCCACTGCTGGGACGAATCAAAATTGATTTTGTGATTCCTAAAGAACTTTCTTTTGGAGATAAAGATACAAAATCTAAGGTGACCCTAATTGAAGGTGACCATGTTAAGTTTAATATTTCAACAGACTGACATGAAAAATTAGAACGAGCAACCAATATAGAAGTTCTATCAAATACATTTCAGTTCACTAATGAAGCTAGAGAAATGGGTGCAATTGCTGCCATGAGAGATGGGTTTGGTTTCCTCAAGTGTGTGCATCGGGATGCGCACACGTTTTTCCACTTCAGTGAAATTCTGGATGGGAACCAACTCCATATTGCAGATGAAGTAGAATTTATAACCATATCAGTGGTTCCTGATATGCTCTCTGCCCAAAGAAATCATGCTATTAGGATTAAGAAACTTCCCAAGGGCACATTTTCATTCCATTCTCATTCAGAATATCGTTTTATGGGAACTGCAGAAAAAGAAGCCACTTTTTCCAATCCTAAAACCACTAGACCCAATAAAGCCAAGGAGGAAGCTGAGAATGGCATTATTATTTATGATGACTGCGGAGTGAAACTATTGCTTTTCAAGCCAAGGATGTGGAGCGATCTACTACTCCTCAGATGGCTGATAAGGTTGAGTTTACTATTAGTGACAAACAGAGGCCTGGGCAGCAGATTGCAACTTGTATGGGACTTTTAGGTCATAATTCCAACTCCAAGAGGCTCTTGGATTATGTGGCAACTCTAAAAGATAACTTAGGATTTATTGAAACAGCCAATCATGATAAGGAAATCTTTTTCCATTACAGTGAATTCTCTGGTGATATTGATAGCCTAGAACTGGGGGACATGGTTGAATACAGCTTGTCCAAAGGAAAAGGCAACAAGTCAGTGCTGAAAAAGTAAATAAAACTCACTCAGTGAATGGTGTTACTGAGGAAGCTGATCCTACCACCTACTCCAGTAAAGTCAATCGCCCTCTGAGAAGTGTTGATCCAACAGAGACTGAGTATCAAGGAACAAGTGAAACTGTGGAAGAGGGGGCTATGAAAGGTGAGGTGTATCCATTTGGCATAGTTGGGATGGCCAATAAAGGGGACTGCCTACAGAAAGGGGAGTGTTAAGTTCCAGTTGTGTGTCCTGGGCCAAAATGCACAGACTATGGCCTACAACATTACACCCTTGCGTAGGGCCACAGTGAAGTGTGTAAAAGATCAGTTTGGCTTCATTAACTATGAAGTAGGAGATAGCAAGAAGCTCTCGAGGCTCAGGATGGCATCGAGCTACAGGTAAGAGATGAGGTGGGGTTCTCAGTGATCCTTAACTAGCGCACTAGCAAGTGCAGTGCCTGTAATGTTCAGCGAGTCTGTGAGAGCCCTAAGGCTGTTGCAGCCCCTCAACCTGATAGGTTGGTCAACTGCTTGAAAAACACCACCCTGGATGATGCCAGTGCTCCTCGCCTAATGGTTCTTCACCAGCCAAGGGGACCAGATAACTCAATGGGATTTGGTACAGAAAGAAAGATCCGTCAGGCTGCTGTCACTGACACGAAGCACATCTTTAATCCACTATGATCAAGCTGGGGGGATTCTGGTGAAGGGTTCTGAATATCTCCCCCTTCATCCCTCAAATCTGCAAAATTACTCTATTGAGCTATTACACCAGTTTTAACACCTTCCTCATGTTATGTTTAAAAAACAAATAAATTTAAGAAACCATTTTAAAATTTAAAAAAGACTAAGAACCTGAAGCTGTACTCTGCAGAACATATTTTTAAAACCAGAAATGCCCAATCAATAGTTTTGATATATGTAAATAAATGTCTGTCTGAAAAGTGTTGCACTTTTAATTACCCACAACAGGGAATCAGACTTCCAAATTATCCATGACATAATTAATCCACTTAGCAAGTGTCCACTAGAAAAGACAGTACCAATAACTACATGAAGAATAAGCCAAGGGAGAAAAATAAATCAGAGAAAATGTGATAGAGTAAGAAAAAACACTAAATATTCACATTAACTGGAGCCATTCTTATTGGGATGTGGATTGTAAGACCTCTTTTGGAGAAATTATATTTATCTTGTTCTCAGTGAAAATACTGTCCTGAGTGAAAAGTGTTTATTGAAGATATTCAAAATTATAGGTTTTAATATTTACTTGGTTTCTACAACATGTATGAGAAAAACAATCTAAAAGTTCACAATTATGAAAAGGATTAAGATAATAATACTGATATTCTTCAGTCAAACCAGGCTATAACGTGCGTATGGAGTCCTGGAAGTAAATAAGAAGCAGAGAAGCACTTCACTTGGTCTATACCTAGACCATTATAGTTTCCAGGTTACTGACTCAGAGAATGAAAATATGACTCTGGAAATAATTGTGGGCCATGGAAATTTAATATAAATGCTTTTACAGTTTAGAACTAGCACTTGGTGGGCAAATGAAGAAATGCATGTTTTACATGCTTAGGATTCATGGTTAAGAATAGAACCCATTTTGTTATGTAAGTACAGTTCTATAAATCAGCCTAGGCCATGAAAAAATTTCAATTTCACAAACTGATCACGAACAATGATCTAGTTAGTTTGTATTTTGAATAAAATAATAGTGCAAATTTTGAAAACAATACTTGGCTCACCATTTCATTGTTAAAATAGTTTCTTTATTCAGCTTTCTAGATACCATACTCTCATGGGTTCTTTTTCATTGGCTGTATTTATATCAACCTTTTACTTAAAACTTTAACTTCCTAAAATTTAAATATTACTGTCAATCTCTCATACTAACAGACTAACAGAAAACCTGACTAAGTGGCCCTCCCCAAACCTGAAAAAAATCATAAATTCTGGCCCTACCACCAAAAGGTCTAATCTGAAAAAAACAGACTAAATAAAAACAAATGGACTCTGATGAGAAATTCAAACTTATATAGCATGAAGTGGACAATAATTTATAAAACTAATCATCATCTTTTCTACAGCTTAGTTTAAGGCTAGGTAAAAATTTCATGGTCCAGGAGCATGGTGGAGGTAGATGCGGAGAGGAAGCCAGGATATCTTGTCACCTCAGGGAGTCAGGACACCCAAAATGGAGAGGAGAGGCCTCCTATACCTCCTCACTCATGGTATCAGAGGTAAAGCAGCTAATGAAAGGCAGAAGATCTCAACTGAGACTGGTGCTATCAACCAAGAAATGTAGTCTGAAGGTGAAGGCTAGCCAAGAAAATTAACTGCTAAAACTACCACTTACTGGAGGAAAATAATGAAATTCAGTCTATACAATGTAATCTTTATAATATCAGAGTATAATGCAACCACTAGGAAGAATGTATGCAATGTGTTAATTATTGAAACTATCCTATCAAAGTGATTTGAAACTATGTCATTGCTATTTGTTTCTCAATAAAATTATACAAAAAAAGAAAAAAAAAAAAGAATGTAATACAAATTTGCTCAGCATATGAAGAAAGATAGTATTTTCACTCCATAGGCAAAAATGGCTATTTCAACTTTCCTCAATGATACTTAATAAGAAAATTCCTCTTAAGTGAATAAAAATCAGAGAAACAGAGAAATGGAAAACTAAAATGTTCTAATTGATTCAACTATTTCATCTATCATTGGGTTTCTCAAAACTACATGATTTTCACAATTTCAAAGTACTGTCTGACAGATTACTTACTAACTAGAAACAGGACAAAGTATCTTCATGATAGAGAAATCTGACAGACAACATTTAAAACACATGACTGAAGTCAGCAATGCCAATAAAAGAATAAACATAGATAAGGTACAATACACTTTTATTTTTAGATTTTAATATTCTTATTTTTCTATTGTTTTGAAATATTTCCCCAAAATGTGGAAAGAAAAGTATATTTATACTTACAACTGTTTCCCTTTGTTAAGAGGAAAATCAGAAAACTCTAAGTAATATGACTATATAATAAACTTTCACCTGAAGTATACAGCCTAGTTCTAAAAACGACAACGTCTTTTGAAACAGGGTTGTGTCCACTTTACAAAGTTGTGGTGAGGTTCTAAAGGTTATTACACTACATGGATGTATTATTTTACTCAATTTTACATCAAAAATTCTACAGTTCATAATCAATACACTAAATAACAATTTCTTTGAAACAAACTGAAGAATGATGAGACAGAGTGATCTGAACAGCTGACACAGGCCCAAAGGATGGTTTCAACAATCAAGTTTCACCCATAAAAGTAAAGGAAGAAAAGAAAAGAACTTTTTTTCCCATTTATGTATTTGGTACAGGGTCTCACTACGTAGTGATCCTTCTGTTTTTCAGTCTCCCCAGCGCTGGATTTACAGGCATGTGCCACCACACCCAAACTAGATCCCCACCTCAGTGCGCCAGGGATGGGGCCAAAGCAGCACGCGGGACTGGGGATCAAACCTTGGTCCCTGAGCTTGCCAAAGCAGGTGGTTAGTCTGCTGAGCTATCTCAATGACCCTATAGAAAGTTTTAAAATAAGCAAAATAGCAGGAAGAACAAGGTTCCACAGAAGGATATATAAGTTCTCATCAGAATACTCAAGAGAGAAGTACAGGGAGCAGAATGATGGATGAAGGGTATATACCTAGCTAGGGGGAATGATGAAAGGATTGGGGATCAGTGCAGATCTTTAGGTCTCACCCCCACCCAAGGGTATCAAGTTACAGAAGTATTTCATCCAATCTTGGGTGAGTGCTCTAAGTCTGTGTCCTCCCAAAGGAAAGGAGTGCTACAAGGTAAACAAGGTAACACTGTAAGCTTTACAGTGGTTCTAGAGCCCACTACTTAACAATTATTTGACCTCAGGCAAGTCTCTGTATTTTTCTAAGCTTCAGTTTCTTATTCTGTAAGAGAGATAATAATGACATCACCTTCACGAAATAGTGAATACTAAATGATCAATAAGTGCTAGTTATTTACTTTACTATTGAGGAAGGGATTTCTTATACATTTTGAGTAATGTCAATGTATATTTTGAAGTTAAAAGTATAAATACTATTAGGAAAGGCATCAAAGATTTGGATTCAAGTATTATACCTTGTAAAATTAGAATCTACGATTTTATAGTATCATAAAAGTCAAGCCACTAACCCATACACAGCAGTAAAAAGGAATTTCTAAAAATACCTCAGGTTTTCTGCATTAGGAAAACCTTGAAATGAAATACCCTATTATCATAGAAAGTAAGTACAGAAAGTATATCATAACTAAAAGTGTAAAAAGCTAATGGTATAAGAGCTGAGAAAAAAAACTCTAAAAAAATGAAGATGTTTTCCTTCAAATTTAATTGAGACTCTGGATCTACTGTTTAGTGACTATTTCTTTGATACTCCCTTACATATGCAAAATACTTCCTTAGAAAATTATAAATGACCTCTCAATTAAGAAAAAATGCTAAGCATATTTAGAAAAGACCAATTTTGTAAAAGCACTATAAATGAAATATGAAATTTGACCCTCAAAGAAAGCACACACATATAGTCTTTCTACTACTCTTTTGTTCTGGTTTTCTTTTTCTTGCAGAGCTGGGGATTTAACTCAGGCCCTTGTGCTTGCCAGGGAAGCACTTATTCCACTGAGCCATCTCCCTGTCCCTTGTTCTGGTTTTCATATGCTAAATTTAATTCAGTGTCTAAAAGGCATTTCAAAATAAGATGAAGTCAGACTGGCAAACCCAGATATCTTGAACCCATGCTACAAATTCAAAGAATATGCATACCATATGTAACTGACTCATTTTATGAATTAAGTATACAAGCCATGAACTTTTACAAGGCAACAATCCCACAGTGGTTTTTATAGTAGCAAGGAAAAACGGAATGGAAAACGAAGTATGATAGTGACATAGCAACTTTTATCACTAGGCCACCTGATTTCCTTTAGATAATGTGCTTTAAGAATAACACAAAACAAGACTTATAGCTAGAACAGATGGAGAAACTTATCAAATTAAGTTCATTATTAGGAGTTACAAAATAAAGCTAGTCCAAAGATTGTATTTTGTTATCAACTCTTCTCATATTGTATATAAGCACCTCCATGTTCACATATATGTAGTATTCCTTCCATATAAAACAAAATCAACCATTATAGACAATCGCAAAGCCTGTGAATAATTTAGGACTATAAGAATTACTCTTCAGAAAAAATTACAGGGAATAATTTAGGTATGCAATGTAACTTACTTAAGACTTGGGTTAACAGTCAGTGAAAGAATAAGATAAATCATAACTGCCTACCTTAGTGCTATTTTCAAAGTAAAAAATCTCTTAAGTTTTTTTTTTCATAAGAGTATCATGACACACAAAAACAGAATTACTTGCTCGTTTTTTCTAAATAACTGTATAAAATGTTATACACTTGAAAAAAAGGATACACTGAAAGGATATTATGAATTTTGGAGTATTATGAGGAGTGCCAATTTAAGTATATACCTCACATGTAAGACTCGAGTCCAATGCCTATGTTCACATTAGCTGGGACAAGACTATCATACTCAATACTTAATCATCCTTTACAAAGGAAGACAGATTGGGGCTGGGGAGATGGCTCAGTAGAATAAGCGCTTGCCTGGCAAGCGCAAGAGCCCAAGTTCAATCCCCAGTTCTGCCAAAAAAAAAAGGAGGACAGGTTGAAAAGCTCTAGCTCAATTAAAATACTATTAAGAGATACTGTTTCTCCTCTTTTATCTCACTCAACATGTACAAGACATACCAAATTTTAACAGTCAAATATATATGTGAAATTACCCTGCAGTTAGGATAACTGATTCTAAGAATGCAGGGTATCAAATGTTTTTAGATTCTACAATAAAACCATCTCTGAGACATTTAATGGTACATCATTTGGTAAATGACAGTTTCCACAAAGAGCAATGAGACTTAAAACTTACGCAAGTGAAAAAAAAATTATGCAAGTGAAAAGTCTGGCTGAAAAAGACAAAACTATGGATTATGTTGGTCCAATTTCATTTTAAGTTACTATAGCACTGAACAAAATGCTGATAACACCCAATGAAAATTTATTGAGTTGGCAATAGACAAAGCATGATGTCAGCCACCAAAATCACCACCTACATTCCCAAATAACATGAACACTTCAATTCTTGAACCTGATTTAGGTTACTTGCCTAAAGTTACAGTAAAAATAAAATCCTTGGGCATGAGGCATTATTGAACACAGATGAGTTTTGTTTGGCAGTTTTGACTCAAATTAGTGTAGTACTTTAACAAATTCAGTAAAAAACACAGGAAAACACAAGCCTCAACATATTACAATTTTCTAATTGTGCTATATTTTTCACTGTAAGATTTGAACAATCTCATAAATATTCAAATAGTATCATACCACACAATAGGTTGACGGGGGGGACACAGAAACACATGTACACATTTGCACACAGATTCTTACTTTCATGGCATGGATTTCTTCAAGCAATCGTTGTGCACGTCTTTGATTTTTTAACAGTGCATCATCAGTACCCCTGCAGAAAATGATACGTAACCAAATAAAAAATACTTTTAATTACATCAGAATGAAAAGGTTTTACTTTAAGCCTATTGGACTTCCCCTTCTTTTCCTACCTTAACACATACACCAATTTTATAAACAAATCCAAGTGTTTAAAACTAGTGAACAAGCCCTGTCACAGATCACTAACTGACTTTGCTTTCTCTAGCCCCCTTACGAGAAAGGTAAATAACACTTTTTAATCGATCAATCAATCATATTACATTGTATCTAATGTAATATATGCTTTATGAGCCATAACTAAGTATTGGCTATAGGTTTGCTAAGTGAAAACTTGTTCTCTAGAATTAAAGAAAAATATGTGTTAATTATCTAATTACAGAGATGAGCTATTTCTGGAACATTTCTTAGAAAAGAAAATTAAATGGGAACAAAACTCACTTGAAGGTTTTGTAAATATTCAGGCTTAAACTACAAAAATTGTACATTTTTTTTCTTTTTTTTACTGACACTGTTAATACTAAAAATATAAAATACTTGTTTCAGAAAATTTCATGGTACACAATAAACTGATTGAGCACTCCACAAGGTATTAAAGGTTTCAAATTACAGTTGAGATGGATTTTTTTTTTTGGGGGGGGGCTGGCTCAGGTGCCTTCAGGGCAGGTCTGGCAAGGCCTGAGGAGCTGGGGATCTAAACAAAGTATCCTGTGCCTGACTGTATTTGCACAGGCAGGCACTTAAACAACTGGGCTAATTGGCAGGCCCACAAATTACACAGTAATTCAAGGAAAAAAATCATATAAAATCTTAACAACCGACTTTCCAAGTATTACTAGACTGAAATGTGTCATTACCAGCTTAATAGGAGGGTTTTCATCCTGTTTCTTAGGCATAGTCTCAACCTTATAGACACAGTGACACTACAGATTCTCTATCACTCAGATCATCTCTATGTGTAAAACAAAGCAGTGAACAAGATATTTAATTATTCCTTTATATTCCACCATCAAATTTTGAGTATTTTAGGTAAAAACAGTTTTAGATATTTTATTAGTCATAGGATTATTACTTTAAGCTACTGACTTTTTTGACTTTAGCCTGACAACACTCCTGACAAGTTTTCTGATGATCAAAACTCGTATTCTCTTCACTTCTTTTCTCATCTTCACAACCTTTTGGGAAGAAAGATAAAATTAAAGGCACAACTCAGAAACAAATACAATTAATTTTGATACCATATACTTGGGTCTACTAACTTTAACCACATTCCTAGTTTGAGGAAATAAACATTCTTTCATAAACACTGTAGGAGTAAATCAAGTCTAAAAATGACTATGAAATTACTATGACCCTTAATATTTTTCTTTTAATCTCATTATGTTTAACACCTCCCTCCATATTTATCAAAAACCAAGAAAACCAAGTAAAACCAAAATGCAATGATGTACAATATGTGCTCAATGAATATTTGTTAAATTACCTAAAATGTATGATGCCTATTTGTTAATTCACTGTTTCAAATCAAGTGCATATTAGATTAAAAGAACACAAATAACCAAGGTTTTCTTCCCATTAGATACATTAACATCTTTGGAATTTGTTTTAAAGTTAAATATACTTAGGAAATATGTTCATACAATGTATAAGTAAAAAGTCTTTCAGACAAGGTTTAATTGACAAAATGAATTATAATAAGATTATAGTACATTTATAAGTTAATTCATTGAATTATTAGCATAAAAAAGTATGCTAATTTTATTAGCATAAAAAGTAATAAATTATGTGTTTAAATACGGTAAATGTTTCTAATTGCTGAACTTTGCAGGTGCCTTAGATTACAATACACCATTTACCACTAGTAAACTGCGCTGGGCAGAGTTGGTCCTTGGTTACATTCTAATCATGAAAAAGTTAGTCTCCAACTCTAAAATTTCCATTTTAGATGTACTATATTTGTCATTACTGCATAGAAAATCCAAAAGCAAATTTTTCATGCTTCAGAAACTTAGTTTTAAACAATACAAAAAAAAAAAATGCTTTTCTAGTTTAACTTTCTCAGTATTTGTGTAGAGCCAGCAGAAAAATTTGAAAGTTTAGTGTATAAACAAGTATATTCATTTCACATAAAAATGGAATTAAATACTTTTTTTCTCATAATTGCTCCCTCTAAACAAAGCTTTATTTTTGCAAATCTGATGACTAGCAACTTTTTAGATAGGGTTTTAAATGTTGTGACTCACCTGTTACCCAGGAATTATGAGGTTGGCTGACAACCAAGAAACCAAGACAAGCCCCAGACACCCAACACTGTCACAAAGCCAAGGCAGTACTTAAAAGCAATATATTGTGTCAAATTCTTCAACCAAAAGCAAGTGAACTATCATTGTTGGGACTATGGAAACAGTATGATATTGTTTGGGAAGGAAAGAGGAATAAAATGAGCAAGGATAAAACAGGCATAATAATGGAAATAAAATATATCAACAGAGAAGAAACAAAATGAAAGAAAAATAGGAGTTTGAAGACAGAAATTCAAAGAAAACTCTTTATGTAATCACAACTAAGATTGCTAAACTTAGTTGAGATATTCTAAACAGGAAAGGAATATATTTTATGAGTTCAAAAGAGAAAAAGACTTAAAACGTGTACCATAGGCTACACAGGAGCTGAGAGAAAATGTCAACATCCTACCCACAAAGATAACCTGGTAAATTTTGAACACATTCAGGGTAACCTGGATCACTTCTTGGGCAAACACTACAAGAATGTGATCACAAGTCAAGAGAAGCTAATACACCTGCTAGAAAGTGATCACGAGTAGATTAAAAAGAGGCAATTCAGGGCCAGCCAAATAGCTCAGGGGATTAAAGTACCTGCACGCAGGCACAGGGTCCAGGGGTTCGATCCCTGGGCCTGCCGTGTCGGCCCCATCCCTGGGGTGCACTGAGACTGGGCTTGGTGGCACATGCCTGTAATCCCAGCTTTTGGAAGGCTGTAAACAGGAACAGGCAGATCATTACGAGTCCAATCTACTAGTAAGACCTTGAACACCCTGTAAACCCTTCCCTAAAATACAAAAAATAATAATAAAAATAATAATAAGAGGCAATTCAGACACATGAAGGGAACTATAAATAAGCAAAAGCTGGCAGTATCCAACTCAGAAAAATTCCAAAGAAAGAATTCTCTAGCTTTGAGACTTGAAAATCGAATTTGTCCTAAGATAACTAAATTCTGTGGAACAAATCATAGCCCAACAGTGAATCATGCACTAGATCCACTTTCAGTCCAGCTGATGAGGATGAGTGGACAGGAAAAGAATGTTTTACAATGTGAGTATAAGTTTGTACTAATGGAAATCTGCTTTGGAGAGATTGAGCTATATTTCTGGGTATATAGTAACAGCAAGTTCCTGATATACTTGGTAGCCCAGACTGGTCTTGAATTCACAGCAATCCTCCTGCCTCAGCCTCCTGATGACAGGTGTGTCCCACCCTGTTTGGCTGGTGATACAATGATTTTGATATATATCTGGATTAACCTGTAACAAAAACTCATGGCCATCAGAAAAATCTGCATACACATGTGTCTCTTGGAATACATTAGACCTTCTGATTATTCATTCACCTGTAACATTGATGGCAAAACTCTCAGGGCTTCCAATGATTTGAACAGCCTGCTGTGGCATGTGTGCCTTAGGTTCACCACCGCTGACTTACATGATGGTCAAATACAACAAAATATAGGACAATATGTTCTAATCCTGAAGCCATGAGGAAACAGACAATCTCAGATCATGCTGGTAGAAATGCCAATTGTACATTCTTTCAGGAGGAAAATTTGGCAACACCTGACAAGAATCCTACTTCCAGGAATCTATTTAGAAGACACATATCCAACAGTGGGTAATTATGTAAATGATTTCATACTGCATACAAAGCATATGAACTATACAGCATATATAAAATGTACAAAATGTATCTTAAATAAATACAAAAGGTAGAATTTTAATAAATAATCCTAGAAAACTTTCATGTATTACCATGGATAAATCACAAATATTTGTTGAAAAGTATTAACAGAATGATATTTACTTTACATTAAACAGTGTAACATCACACCCAAAACTTAAAAACACACCAACTGGCTCTGGCGCTTTAATCCAACAGTTGGGAGGTTGAGGCAGGAAGATTGCCATGAGTTCCAGGCCAATCTGGGCTATATAATGAGTTCATGGCTACTCTGACCTAACAATATCCTTTCTCGAAAGTGAGAGAGAAAGAAAGAGACAGAGAGACAGAGACAGAGACAGAGACAGAAAACACACCAGAAAAATAAGGATTACACCTAAGGTAGAAAGGAAGGTAAACAGAATAAAGCACTACATAACAGTTCCTATGTTTGGTAACTGCTAAACATAGGAACTACAGTATAAGTGTATTTGTTATATTATTTTCCACATGTTTGTGATAATGATTTTATAAAAATCCTAAATTGCTCATTTAGATAATTTATGGTTGAAATACACATCTTATTCCTCCTGTATAACAATTTAAACTATCTAGAATGCTCAGTAATTACCTAACTTCACCATTACTGGGCATATGCTGCTACCAGCCAAATACAAACTGATTTTTCTTGTGGATTGATTTACTATTTCAAAATAAATTATCAAAAAGCATTATGCATCTGTTATGAATGAGTTTTGCAACTTAATAAACACATATAAACATGATTCATACTATCTTTGTATTTTACAATACAGGGAGGAAAATTATTTTCTTGTTTTTGGTGTTTTTGTTTCTATCTTTATTGCAGTACTCCCTTATTGAAGTAGTATATGCTCCAAGACTAGCAATGGATGCCTCAAACTGTAGATGGCACAATTTGTACTATATATATGTAGTATATTTTTCTACACACAGGTTTATGATAAATTTGTAGTTTATACTGATTAATAAGATACAAAGAGATTAATAAAATCAACTAATAATAGAGTAGATTAATTATAATAACATACTAAAATAAAAGTTTGCACTATGTCATAATTACATAAGGGTTACTTGGATACAAGCAAACACAAAGCACGGGCCAGACAGCTCAATGGATTAAAGTGCCTGCTTAGGCAGATGCAGGGGCTGGGGGTTCAATCCTAGGCCTGCCATGCTGGCCCTGGCTCCACCCCTGGGGTAGTGGTGCACCCCTGTAATCCCAGCACTTGAGAGAGGCTCAAACAGGAGGATCACTACGAGTCCTATCTGTGTAGTGAGACTCTGTACTAAAATACATTAAAAAAGAAAGTTAAGGGAAGACTAATGTATTTTAAGAACTGATAGGTAATTTTCTAGTGGCCTTATTGGTAATTTTCTATCAAAGAATAATATGCTGTGTTTCTACAAAGACTAATGGACTTTCTATGGAATCAAAGTACTCCATCAAATCACTGTTCCCTGTAATTCAAATTTTATACATCACTACTGCCAAAGAAACATGACTACAATAAATCCAGATGTTTTTCAAATTCTCAACTCACTAAAAATTAGAGCACTGCCATTTTCAATTGTGCACCCTTCTTTCTGTAGCTTTAATGAAAAAGGAGGAAAAAAGACAACATTTAGGAAATTATTTTCTTTCATCTATATACTAGTGACAAAAAACGTGCTAAGGATATTTTAATTTTCCCAGTATTTACTTATTACTTACAGACAAGGAATGTGCTAGAAGTCTGAGAAGTTATGAGAAATGTTAATTTTTAAATTTGAAATGCACATAAAATTTGGAGCAAGATAAAGTATTCAATAATCGTAAGATAAAATAAAGTGATGGTTTGTTTTAAAAATGGTAAAGAGAGCTGGGGATGTAGCACAGCAGAATATCACCTGCACGCCTAGTGTGAGGCCCTGGGTTTGAGTCCTGACACAAATAAATAAATAAATTAATTAATTAATAGAGTTTGAAAAGTAAAGAAAAAAATTCATTTTACAATAAAGTATTTAACAACCCAGACTTAAGAAACATTTTATAAATATAGTCTTTTTTTAAAAAAAAAATTCGTTTGGTACATGTTCTCATTGTGCAACTTCGACAGCAGCTCAGACTCCTGGTGATCCTCCTGTTTTTAGCCTTCCCCAGAGCTGGGATTACAGGTGTGTGCCTGCCAATACACTCACACTCAGCAGCAGGCAGCACACCTGGGGGCAGGGGGTACAAATAAATTAGTCTTTATCCTCGAAATTTTTTATAAAAATAAATAAAGATATATGGAATGGTCTTTCCAATTATTAAGAATAGAAGGCATAGGAAAAAACACAAAAAAATTCAGGGAAATTATTATAAAATTAGGCTACATACAACTTTTAAAGAAATAACTACATTTAAAATACAATTACGAGGGCTGGGGAGATGGCTCAGAATAAGCGTTTGCCTTGCAAGCGCAAGGGCCTGAGTTCAATCCCCAGTTCCGTCAAAAAACTAAATAAATAAAAATAAAAAAAAAAAATACAATTAGGGGCCTTGCTGGATAGTACAGTTGTTTAAAGCACTGGCTGGGCAAATGCAGTCAGGTGTATAGGACCACAGTTCGATTCCCACCTCAAGAAGCTGTGCCAGACCTATCCTTAGGGCAGCCTGAAGTAGCCAAAAAAACAAAACAAAACAAAAAATCCTTCTCAAATTAAGGCGAGGGAGATAGCTCAGTAGAATAAGCACTTCCCTGGCAAGTTCAAGGGCCTGAGTTCAATCCTCGGTTCTGCCAAAAAAAAAACCCTATAATTAAAAGTTATGAAATAATAATTTCTAGCCAATAAATCACAGTCATGATAACAAATACCTCAAAGGCAATCCCACTGAGACTTACAAACTTGGAAATATGGTGAAATCTACAAAGTGTGATCTCTATAGAGTCAACAACACAAATTTATACAAAAGTTCAGGCAGTTATAAGGCCTCTACAATATGTGTGAATCACAGTTAAAATGAGGTAGTCTATTAAGGGTCTGTGCCTAAGGAGAGTCACATGGACAGAACACATTCTCTCAGGCTTTCACAGAGAGCAAATTGGTCAAGCAATGGCCATGACTCATCCACATGGCTGATACTGACAAAGGATCTGCAAACTGTGGTACAGGGTTTCAGAGTAAATCCTGAGGGGATGACCCTGTCAGATACAAAAGTTACATTTCTTGTAATATGGGTCTTGCTTTATCTTGGTCTTTACCATCCAGCAGAAAAGTATAATAATGAGGTATGAAAAGGAAAACCATATTAACATGCTGAGCTGCAAAGTCAACAACTTCTGACACTGCCAGTCCTGCAGATAACCCACTACTATTATGAACTACTGGACTATATTGGATTATTTGGCTGAATTCATGTACCTACACTATTTAAATGGCAATAGAATACCCATCTCTGACAAAACTAAACAAAAAAAGGGGATACAAATGAAGGACCATTTTGTATCTGTATATACAAAATAGTTAGGATAGATATACAACTACTTTCCCTTATTTCAATGAGAAGAAACAGTTGTACTAATGTGTGGAGAGGGTATCATGTCTGCACCTTGTACTATGAATAACCACTATGAAGACAACAATGTGCAACATATTATTGAAACTGTCCTACTAATCGGTTTTGAAGTTATCCTATTCCTATTTGTTTCTCAATAAAATTAATATAAAATAAATAAAATAAAATAAAATAAGAAATAGGCATTAGGGACATGATGGGCAAAAATTTAAAGCCAGTCGAAGGGACTGCCCTTGTTTGGTCTTTATCAAAAGCAGCTCAGTGGGTTCTAAGAAATGCGGTGATATGATTAGATGTTTTTGAAAAGAGTACTGTACTCCAGCAGCAGTATGCAGAACAAATTAAAGCAAAGAAGAATCAATTTAAGTAGTTGGGAGAGACTACTACAAGAGCTCTAGTTGGCAATATAGTCTGAAATCAGTTGGCAATATAATTTAGTTTATAACTGTCAAAACGATCTGACAGAGAATTTCAACTCTTTAGGATACATTTCGTTTCTGAGAAGTTTCTGAGAAAGTTCATATTTATTTTTCGCCCGTTTTTTGTGACATTTTCTCTCAATTTCTAGGAACTATTTTATAATAAAGTATACTGGCTTGTGTCATGTTTTATTTTTAATTGTTCTTTTTCTGGAATTTTTTCAATTTTATATAAATTTACACATGACTATTTTCCTCTTTGTAGTTTTTCCTCATTAATTTTAAATATCATTTCCATCCTTTTTGTCCTTTTATCCTCTCTATACTATGATACAGATTTTAGCGTGCTGATGTATGTACTTCCTGGTTTGCTAATTTTTTTTGGGGGGGGGAGCGGAAGCGGGTATTGAACTCAGGCCCTTGCGCTTGCAAGGGAAGCGCTTATTCTGCCGACCTATCTCCCCGGCTGGTTTGATAAATTTAATCATTCATCGGGCAAGCATTTATAGAGCATGTACACTGCAGAAATAGGTATATAAATAAAGGAAAACAAACATGTATTCCAAGAATAGAAAGCATCCGATTATGCAACGAATAGACACCAGGATAAAGTTGAGTTAGAAAAAAATTTCTTTTAAAGATCAAACTGTAGCTGTTGTCAAGATTCTTGGCTGTCAGCTAAGTGGAAATTTTTTTATATAACTGATTTCCTGTCATTTCGGTAATCCAAGTCAAAATTAGACAATTAGACATGAATCTAAAGGTGTTTTCTGGGTATTCCCAAGGATATCTAGCGTATGATTCGGTAAAGGGAGTTTCAGGTAGCAAAGCGAGACCCTCCAAGAAGATTCTCCAGGCCCATCCCCGGTCCTCTACCCTCCACCCGCCCCGGACACCGATCACATGCCCGCTGGAAAGACGCAAAAGAGCTGGTTCTGAGAACCCCAAGATCAGCCACACAGGTTCTGCAACCCGGCGCTCACCTCGTTACTGAGATTCAGAGTTACCGGAGGCGCCATATTCTGCAGATCACGGAAGCGGATCCGCCGTAGGAGCACGAGAACTGCGTCTACCGCAGCTCCGTCGCCACGCCCCTCGACGGCGGCCTCTTCTGGCCAAAACTAATCCGCCTTCTGTGAGTGCTGTGGCCTGAATAAAATATAGGCTGATAGGTGAAGAGGCGAACCGGAAACGAGAACTTCCGGCGGTGACAGTGACGTACTGAAATTTAGCTTCCTGTGTAAACGAGGTGCGGGTGTGTAACCTAGCTAATGCGTGTTTAAGCTGTTCCGAGTGTTTGATTTTATTTTTGCCCTACACACTGGGCCTGCTGACCTAAGCCCTCCCTCCTTTTTTTTCCTCCGAAAGAGGGTAAACATTTCTTTCCTTTTTTTTTTTTTTTTTTTTTTTTTTTTGGCGGAACCGAGGATTGAAATCAGGTCCTTGCGCTTGTTAGGAAAGTGCTTATTCCACTGAACCATCTCCCGGGCCCCAATGGGTAAACATTTCTGTGAAAGGGTCAGTTTCTGCTGATTTTTTAAATTTGATCATTGTAAAGATTTCTACACTTTGAACAAGCTCATTATTTTGTTCCTGTTCAGCCGAGACGTGGTTATTCCCACCACGTTATAAAAAGTTAAAGTTAGAAAACAAAACATTGGTTGATTTCCCACATGGGGGGTGAAAGTAGGAAAATCACTATGAGTCTGATTTGTGTAGTAAGACCCTGTAGACTCTGTAGTAAAAATACATGAAAAAAACCACAAAAAAAAAAAAAAAAGCCTAATTGTTTTGGCTATTTTTTCCAGAACTATATTGAACTACCCGCCAAAAAAAACCCAAAAAAGTTTTTCTGCATCTATTGAGATGATCATGTGGCTTTTGTATTTGACTCTGTTGATATGGTGTATTACATTTATAGATTTGCATATGTTGAACTATCCCTGCAATATTGGGATAATTCCCACCTGGTCATGGGTTCAAATCTTGATGATTTGCCATGCTTTATTTGATAGTATTTTATTGAGGACTTTTGTATCTAGGTTTATGAGGGAGATTGGCCTATTGCTTCCTTTGTTGGTTGGATTTTTCTCTGATTTTGGTATCAGTATAATACTTGCCCCCCGAAATGAATTGGAAAGTATTGCTCCCTTTGCAATGTCATTGAAGAATGTAATGGGATTAATTAGTGCATTGGGGTTAAATCTTCTCTAAATTTCTTGTGAAATTCAGTTTTGAATCCAGCAGAACCTGGGCTTTTCTTTGTCGTTAAGTTTTTTATTACAGTTTCAGTTTCATTGACTGATACTGTATCATTCAGAATTTTTATATCTTCTTGTTTCAGTTTTGGTAATTTATATCTTTGTAGGAATCTTTTTCATTTCTTCTGTGTTTTCTCTCCTGTGAGAGTAATAATTTTTGCAGTAGTTATTGTTGATTTTCTGAATTTCCATAGGATCTGTAGTAATTTCACCCTTTTTATTTTTTATTGCTTGAATTTGGGTTTTTTTATTTTTAAATGAGTTTGGACAGGGGTTTAATCAGTTTTTTAATCTTTCAAAGAACCACCTCTTTGATTCACTGATTCTTTGGGCGTTTTGGTCTCAATTGTATTAATTTTTACTCTGAGCTTTATAAATTTCCTCCCATCTTTGAGCTTTGGGCTTGGGGCTTAATTTGCTGTTCTTTTTCTAGATGCTTGAGGTGCAGCATTAGGGTATGTATTTATTCCTGTTCTGTTTTCATGATGTGTAAGTTCGCTGTTATAAATTTCCTTCTGAGAACTGCTTTCATTGCATCCCACTAATTCTGGTAATTTATGTTTTAATTTTTGTTGGATTAAAGATTGTTGGGAGCCATGGAAACTGGAAAATTGACAAATGTGTAAAAGCAGGACTAGGCCTCAGTGCCTAAAGCAGTTAAGCTACCTCAGTCCTGAGAAAAACATTCTGACTGGTTAATGTCAGGTACTAGTCACTAGTCAACCTTGTGTCATGTGTTAAGTAACTTTGTAAGGATATAAAGGTACTTTCATACTATTGCTCTGTGGGTCGTTTTGTTGTAGGCAACTGAATTAGATAGAAATATTATAGGCAGTAAGACAGAGCCAGGCCCTCAAGGAAACAAGATGGAAGACAAGATGACTTTGCAATTTGGAGGAGACAGACACTCCCATATGGGCCAGACCTCAAGACCAAGACAAAAAAGGAAACAGAGCTACACACTTCCCTAGAGAATGGGCATGAATCTGGGACAAGGTCTCTTCCTGTACCCCCACGAGGAAGAGACCCTGTCCCAGATTCATGCCCACTTGCTATGTGACTCGCTTCCCCATTTGGTACTGGATTTAAACAATTTTATCTGAGCAATGGTGCTTGTAATCTCATAGTTTTGTCCCACCTCACGCCCACCTAAGTGAGTTCCAATGTCTTCTTCACCACCTTAGACATGCCTCATCACATGGTTTTCCTCTATAAAAGTCTCTGGAAGAGACAGCTTCCTGGGGACCACCTAGTCGGGGCTCCACCCTCCCGTCCTCTCAGGCAGGAGCTTTCTTTCCCCCGATAAATATATTTTGTTCATAACCTCTGTTCTTAAAATTCATTCTTCAGTTTTAGAGAACACAAACTCATCTCAGGTACCTCTCAGGTTGGGAGATCATTTTCCCCTATATCATCTACCCCAAGATCATTTGTTCCCTGTGTCAGTTTCACCAACCAGACAGATGAGCTACCACCTAACCTAGCTGTTGTCTTCTTGTCTATATTTTCCTCATTCCTGCTGATATTTCTTCCTGGGTACCACAGATCACACTGAGAGACCAAACAATCCCAACATTTGGCACCCAAGCAGGACATCCAGTATGAGTTAAGTATGGGCAGCAGGAACACTTCCACCCATAAGGGAGGGAAGTGAATTGGTTAGAGCCAGTATTCAGCACAGGCATACATTGGAACTGGCACATTAGGTATAAAACTTGGGGGTCAAAGCTCACTGGGGCCAGAAATGGACTCATTAGAGCCAAAGGGAAAAATGATCTTAAAAAGAGAAATAGGTTTGAGAGAAGTCAAAAAGGCAAAAGTTATATTGAGTTAAAAACTGGACAAATAGCAGAGGCCGAGGGTTCCATCCTTGACCTGCCATGCTGGCCCCACCCCTGGAGCCTACTGAGACCTCCATTGAGACTGGGAGTGGTGTCACATGCCTGTAATCCCAGTGCTTGGGAGGCTGAAAATCAGGAAGGATCACTACAAGTCTGATCTGTGTAGTGAGACCCTGTAGACCCTGTACTAAGTACATGAAAAAATAATAATAATGGGACAAATAGAGTGTCAAGAATCAGAGATATATGGATGTTGAAGTGGTTGTGGCATGCTTGATTCCTGTATTTACTTTTGTTTTCTAGATTGTGGTTAGAAGGGGTTTTTCAAACACAAAGGATTTAGATCACAGCTGTTCTTTAAAATCAAGTCCTGAGCAAGAACAGGACACAGAGGAGGGAGCTATGGCAACCAAAAGAATAGAGTTTATATGTGCTGCCAGATAACTCAAGCAAAGCACAGGGACTGGGTTGTTTCCTCGGTGTGTTGTGCCGGCTCCATCCCCGGGGCAAGCTGAGACTGTGATTGAGACTGGGTGTGGTAATAGGGGCCTGTCATCCCAGCTCTTGGGAGGCTGAAAACAGGAGGATCACTGAGTCTGATCTATGTAGTGAGATTCTGTAGACCCTGTACTAAATGCATTTTAAAAAAAAGAAATATCAGAGAAGAATAGAGCTTAAACCCTTTAGCCTTGCTCTATCAAATAAGGAAAGAGCAATGGGAGGATGAAAGGGATCCTTCCCCACCAGAGAAGTCTTTCCCCCAAAATTGCATTTCTCAACATTGGGTGGTTTTTAGGGAGCCACAGATTGCAGTCCCAGCCATGGCATCTCAGAGAAATTTTGCTGAGTCACAGATCCAAACTTGTGCCTCTAGGCCAATTTCCTTGTAGAGCCAATTTCTTTATCTCTCTTGCAATTGACACTAAAAGAAGCCAAATAAGCAGTGAGTCCCTGGAGTGTTTTCAACATATCTAAGTTCAAGTCCCTAATAATCTGGGACAAGTTCTATATCTTCATGAAGCTGTACCTTTTAAAACCTTAAAAGAATTAAAACAACCTGTGGCTACCTAGGGTCCTACTACTTCCTTTATCTTGAGTTTAGTAGAAATGTTAAGATAACAGATTATGGCTCCCAATAATTAAAAAGGAATAGCTAAAGTGTATTTGAATCTAGGAGATTATTTATCGTGGAAAGGAAATTTCTTTGAATATTGCAAAGACCAGGCAGCTCAAAATGCCATTCACAACACAGCCATTACAAAAGATAGCTATCACTGGGATCTGGAGGGAACTTCCTTCTAAGGTTGAGGCATTCCTTAATTTGTAGCATAGCCATTATCTATCTTTTCAGTAAAACCTTCCAATCTACATACAAGATGTAGACTGAGGGTACCATTGGAAAAGTGAATGTAGATCTAAAACTGCTGTGGAATGTCGGCCCATTCAGGGAAACTTCCATTGGGGCCTGCCTTGGGTCCCATCAAATAATAGAGGTGCTTTCCCCTCCCTGCCACATGTGTCTCTGACCTCTGGCCAGCAATAACTGACAGTGGAGGCTTGCACCTCAGTTCCTCCTCCAGATTCCTATTAACCCCTGAAATGGGGCCCCAAATTATTCTATGCCTCAGGGTACAGTGGGACTCCTCTAGGCTACAGCAGTCTCACTTTTTTTTTTTCATTTATGTATTTAATACAGGGTCTCACTATGCAGCTTGGATTTGTAAGTGATCCTTCTGTTTTCAGCCTCCCCAGCCCTGGGATTATAGGCATGTGTGCCACCATGCTGGGACTGGTTTGCTGGTTCAGCACAGAGCTGGCACAGCATATGGGACTTGGGATTGAACCCTGGTCCCTGTGCTTGTCAAAACAGGCACTTAGGAAGCTTAGCTATCTTGCTGGCCAGCAGTCTCACTTTGAAAGATCTCCAGGTTTTACCTGG